GTCGGTCAGTCCATGATGTATCAGCGGTTGACATGATAAAATAAACATTTTCTATTCTCTCGCGGTTGAGTATTCCAGATTTTTACTTTCGAAAGATGACAATCAAATGCAAATAATGCTTTCTACATCCGTTATACTGCTCTAAAATACATTAATGACTAAAGAATAGGTTCAGTGATAATGCATTATATCTACGTATGTGACTAGGGGTTACCTAGGCGCGGGTTAAAGATGATAAGATAAAGATCGAGCGCTCTTTCGCGATGAAATCGCCTTAAAAAGAAAAAAATGCGATACAAATATCTAACTGTCTAATCGAACAAACTTTGTCAGCATTGGATTTGGTTGTGCCTAGCATGACAGAACTGGAAATCTGAGCCTCAATTTTGCCGCTGTTCATCTTGCCGGCCTGCACAGCCGGCTACATTATTAAATGTGCTTGTGTGATTTATCCTCATCATCATTTTAACTCCCAGAAGTGATTAACACGTAACTTCTCCCTTTCACACAGGTTATAAGAATACCCAAACCTATCATTTTGAAGTTGTTAGCTTTATCTAATACAAAATTCTCCTAACTAATTTACAAGGAAATGTATGGCAGGTAGAGGGAAGAATCACTTAAACAATCAGATCTCGGGACTTAAAGGGTAAATAGCAATTGTCTCTTGTTTATCTCCAGAAGTGACTGACTTACCTCGCTCGAGCGATACTTGATCCTTTTGACGAAGAAATCGAGTCCAAGGTTAGTGCGCTAGTGCTAACTAAAGTTGTTGGCATCTAACAGTGAAATAATCGATGGACGAAGATTTAGATGCAACAGAGTTTGTCACAACTATTATTTTAATTCTTGATTTTTCTGGTGGGTCCTTCCGAGTGATCTTTGAACTCCATTTGGACTAAAAAAATGACAACTTGCCAAAAACCCTACGAAACGTGAGAAATCTTCCACAGTAAGGTAAGTGTTATCTCAGACTAACTTCCTATAGACTCGAAAATGAAGCATCTCCGCTCTCCGATTGCGACACATACATTTCATTATTATTTTGAAATGGATTGCATCACAACACAAGGTTATAAATAGAAATTTAGCACGCGCCTCACTTAAAAATTAGCCTCTGGCTGAACATTTTCAAACTAAAAACGATACGATCAGTGGTTGACACTGGAATAAAACATAGTTACAATGCACCATGAGCGGATATGATAATTTTATGGCAGTATGTAATTTCGCGTTTGTCACGCTATGCGGTTTGAACGCGCGAGAAAGTTGGACTCGAAGAACAAAGTTCGTCCTGGGAGAGTGGATTGCGGCATGCGGGAATCCTCGAGCAGAGAATCTTCATTCTTCTTGATCAGCGGCCGCTCAGAAATGACGCGAGTACAAAGTTGACGATATTTAGGGTTGATAGTGAACTGCAGGTCAGGCTTTTTCACTCCGCTGCTTCCATCGCGTTTCGTTTTCCTTACCAAACGCCTGGAGTAAAAATGGAAAGGTGAGAGCTGTTTTAACTTATGCATGCATTCGGAATAAATCCTGCGAACAAAGTGATCGATAATTATCTTCAAGGGGCTAAGTATTCAATAAACCCCAGTCAATCTGCTGTCAATACGTATAGATAGCGGAGAATTTGGCTTCACATCGAAAGTACAACCACAGGCAGCCCAAGCGTACTATTTGTGATTTCGGGGTTGAAGATCATTAATAGGAATATCGTATCAAAAATGCTCATAGGTGTATTAATATAACATAAAAATAAACTTAATTAACATATGCGTATCAACTGGAGTAAATAAAAGCCAAAAGTTCCTCGGTATGAAGATTATCTTTTTGTCTATTGGTATTAAGTCACTTTTAGCTTTACTGAAGTCGTTATTTCCTGAATATTGCACGATTGCCGGATAAATTTGGATTGAATTTTAAGCGTATTTTAAGCGTTCCGAAGAAAATGGAGTTGCACTTTGGAAAGAAGAAGTCTGGTCAGTCTAACTATTAAAAACAAAAAAAAAAGGAAAAGAAGCATTCTGGTGTTACTAACAACATAGAGAAAAGCAAAGTTGTCAGAAGGATGGAAGGACAACGAGTCGAGTAAACCGGAATGACTGAATTCAAGAGGGCCACTCGCAATCAAAGAAAACGGGAAGACTGAAGTGGACACAAATGATCATTAATGACTCATGAAGTGTGAGAGCAAGAGTGTATGGTTTTGATAAACCGCCGCAGCTGGAAAGCGGAAGAAAGAAGGAACGGCATGTGAATCATGAGGATTTGTGGAATGACCTTTGATACGCGAATTTATAACAGACACCCAAAGACTTGCTTGATCAGGCTGCCAGGTTGAAAAAGTCACTGGACAATATAACGGAGCTAAAGCATTAATCGGCTGGAGAAAGGAAGGAAACACAAAACCACAATGTCAGAGGCGCTAGTATGGACATTGTGGACTTGTAGGAAGATTAAAGCGAAGGAACGGTTTTTGTGAATTTCAAGCGCTTGCACAAGAAACAAATTTGCATACGGTTTGTGCACATCAAAATCCCAGGGGAACCTGACAGCCAGACAACCAGATCAAAGACAGACCACGTAAGGCGTTAGCGCACAGACAATCCACCCGATTTGGTGAAAAATCAGCTCTCAAAGCCTTTGCCAAAATTTGAACGACATCTACAATGAAATTGTTCATTTCAGAAGGAAAATCGTAATATTCCATTGGGCAGTGCTGAAAAGAGCGAAAGTGCGTTGATGTTCTGGCTCTAATAATTTAAAACTAGTTCTGTTCTGAACTTGATTACTTTGATAGAGTTTCCAGTTATTCTGCCCAAATTTTGCGAAAACCTTCGGCTTGTCTTCCAAGAGCATAGAACAAAGCACCGCGATAGATCACAGACTAGCCCTCTGGAAGCAAGGAGAACTAAATTTCCTAATCGAATGAAAGCAATAAAATTTACACAAGAGAGGATGCAACTTCGAGAAAGGCCAGATTCGAGGATATATCTAAAGTTTTTGCAATATTGGTCTTTTAACCCCCATTTTTGTACCTATCTGTGGCAGATTCTTCATCGTCCTTTCAGTGGCAGCGCTTGCCTCTGTTACCTCATCCAAAGCTGCCATTCGATAGGACGCTGAATTTAAAATCGAAGATACATCGGAAGCATCTACTGAATATTGGTCTTTCAGGGAAAGCTGTCTGCTGTAATAAAACGCCTGGATAGAGAGAATTCCCCAGGTTTTCTCAGTCTTTCAGGGGAAGTCTTAGACGCACTGAAAGAAAACCACCTGCTAGGCGCGAAAACTGTTTGACCAGACTCCGCGCAACATCTTTGACTACATTGACGAACAAATGATTTACAATGCAACAAGGAGGATTAAAAAACCAACGGGTCTATAAGGAATGGACGCCAAACTTTACCAGAGAATCTTCTGCTCAAAATCTTCAATAGTGAAGGAAAGGTCCTGAGAAAAGAAATAGCCGCGATAGGCAGGATATTTTTTGAAGTCTTACTCCCATCCGTCCCAACTTGAAAGCTACACTTTTTGTGGGCTCCTCTCACTCAATAAGAACCCAGGAGTTCGCCCTGTAAGAGTCAGTGAGGTACTAAGGCGAATAATAGGTAAGATCATATCTCGAGTCTTGTAGAGATCCAGGCCTGGTAGAGATCGGGAAAGGGCGTTTCCAAGAGTTTGTTTAAAGAAAATTGCCATGCACTTATTTTTATTTATTTATTTTAATTTTTAAACTTTTAGGTTATGCATTTTACTAATTTTTCACCATTTGGTTCAATAAATTTATTGTCATTATTAAATTTTAACGTTAACGTGCGACTTAAAAAAAAATAATGATAAATAAATGCTTGAAAATAACTTGTTAAGCCTCTTTCCTTTATTTCATAGCCGCCTTGTCTCTCCCGGCGGTTTTCAACGTCATTTTGTCGACTTTGTTTGTATCAGGTGTTACATGCCTAAAAAACACTCAATATCGCCTTATATGTACTTAACATTTGCAGAAATTTACATAGTTGATCTTATTAAGTTTTCATTGTATGATAACTCGTTAATTCAGTAAGTTACTGCAAGAGAGTTTAATAAACTGTTCTTATTATTACATTATATGTTCAGCATTTCAGATGACCTTCAAACCCCGAAATCACAGTAAGACGCTTGGGTTACCTGTGGCACAACTTGAATTGTCTCAAAGAGGCTATTAATTAATGTACTAGCATCTCCGTCACGGACGAATTCGTTGCTCTCCCTCCCCGTCATCAGAGTACTACACAGCACACGAAACTCCATGAATCTTTATTTTCATTCCCTTTATTTTGATTTGTGAACAGATGTCACAAACACGTGTTCTTCTCAATTTGATCTTTTGTCATCACTGAATTTTTCTCGGATGTTTCTGTTTTACTGTTATAGCCCTGTCATTTCCAGGTGTTACCAATAAGTCATTTATCTCTACCAGTGTTATCATCAAACAGAAATATGGTGTGAAAAAAACAAAAAGGTCAATCCTGGGATATCGTCAAGTTGGTATACACTAAATTCTCAGAACGCACATTACAAGAAATATATGGCAGATACTAGGGAGAAGTTATGATTAGATCTTGGTGGTGAAAGGGCCAAAAATGCTATTTCGAAATATTTGGAGTCAACTTTTTGTACCATTCAAATTTCTTACCATCAACCATGATATTTCACTCTCCTCTCGGTTGCGTTCACGATACTTGATATTGCTATGTACTCAGTAAATGAGGCCAATTAATCTATAACAGCTACGTGTGAATTTCCGGTAGTGTGTTACCGTCATAAGCCAAACCCTTTAGTACGGAATGTGACCTCTGAATTATTCTATGGTAAAAAAATACTCTGGCTTTCACTCTTTAATATCACTTTGACGGAATCGAGTTTCGCTGCAACATGGCTACAAGGTACTGAATGCTTGCGGTAATTTTTCTAACAGTTTACACATAATGGGATCGAGTTTAACCCCCATTTTTGTGCCTTTCTGTGGCAGATTCCTCATCTTCCTTTTAGTGGCAGCGCTTGCCTCTGTTACCTCCTCCAAAGCTACCATTCGACAGGGCGCTGAATTTAAACTCGAAGATACATCGGAAGGATCAACCGAAGGTTTCGGAATTGAAATTGAAACACTTAGCGAACTCGAGGAATTTGGTGGTAAGTTCTTTGAAAAAAATTACTTATTAATAATATCCACGAGGTCTTTATAAAAGACTTAGTTACAGTAATTAATGAATGATCCGGTGTTGTAGGGGAAATTTTGGTTGTCTTATTCTTACTGCGTTTTTTAGTTAACCACCTTCCCTAACCTGTAGGTAATAACGCACTGGAAATATCTTTTTTTTTATTTCAGTGAGTAATGCGTCTGGATTTTTGAAACTTGCCTATTTGACCCTTTTCACAAATCCGTCATTTGTCGCCATTCCTAGCAATTAACGATTATTTTTTCGGGCGCAAACTTCGCAGCTAGGATTTAAATGCATGCGATTGGTTTATAAATGCGGTATTTACTCCTCTTCGCGGTTGCTCACCACGCGATGCGTGAAAAATGGAGTTTTAATCACCAATAACTTTGCATTTTTCTGAAATATTTCGTGAATATGTTTAGTGGATAGTTTATTTTTTTTCGATGAAATACTCACAATTTGGCAAAGTGATTGCCGTTCGGAACTCTTTGACCAGTGCTTAAGTGGGGGGATCACTGATAAGCCATAGGGAATCCCACTGACTTTCTACACTTCATTAAGCTTAGATTACTATTACGGTTGTGAATGAATTGCTCAATGACAAAAACGAACTGGCGTGGCCGCAAAGGAAAAAATAAAGCTTGTTACGCATTCCTTAGAAACGCTTCACTGTTCAGTGTATGTTGGCACCTCTGAGGTCTTGAGCCTTAGTCGATTGTCACATTCTTTTGTCTTTAACCTCCGTATTGGAAGTACGACAATCGTTATTTCCCAATCAATGATCCACGCAACTTCAGTAGGCGACCTAAGCCCTAACAAACCAAATGTGATCTCTCTTTGTAATTAAGGGTTGATTTTTAACGAAAGGCGTCTTTCTTAGGAGAGAGAAACTGTTTTCAAAACTAGCCTCCGGGAATTGACCATTTAATCCTTTAAATGGCTCAAAATAGCCAAGATGTTACGAATGCATTCAAGTGAGTTGACTTGTAGACTTACAACCAAATTTCTCGCCAAACTGAGTCTAGTTTTTCAAGTTCTACACATCAACAACTTTCGTACCAAAACGCAGGAGAGACAGAAAGCAGAGGGCCGCAAGGATCATAAAGTTAGAGTAGGTTTTGCACAATTGACTGACCCTTTGTGAACTAGATATCTTCTTTAAATTAAATTGCTTAATGACAGACGAGTGAGGTAATATGTTTTGTTCCATCACTACACCAGATACGAGAGTGAAAATATGCTCATAATTGAGAAACTCGCACCAGACAATGCCACTTTATCGCAAGGCGCAGAAATGTAGAAAGTACTTCACATTGCCAAAAACCTTTGTCGGCGAAGTGTGAAAATTTGCACCCATTTAATGGGATTAACATAGTGTCCTTCATTGCTTTTGTTGAAAACACGCTCGAGAATAATCACACAGTGTAAATATTTTCATGACATCACTTTTTGCCAAAAGCGTTTGAACTGTGAACGGGGCTGCAGCGTTATGCTTTATGATTGTTCGACTTCAGCCAAATTTACCATGATTTCAAATCTGTCACACCTTTAAATATAGAATAAATTTTAACGCACATTTCAAGCTCGAGATACGTATAGTTTGCTGAGAAATTCCTTAGTGAGGAAGATTAAATTAAAAAATGTTTTCTTTGTTAATATAACAGAAATCAGACGATGGGACTTTTTCTTTGTTGTTGTTTTTGTCGTGTTTTGAACGCCCAGACGTTTCGTCTACCGTAAGCAGCTGAAATAACAGAACATGTTCCACTCAAAGTTAATAGCTGAGTTCTTGCGCGGGATCTCATTGGCTACAGCAAATTTCGCAACTGTAATAACTTAATGAAACGCTTTGCATGTAGGAGTATGTTGATAAGATCAAGATTGAATCGATTATCGACTCGTTCAACTGTACCCCCTCGGCACTAAGCACTCGAATATTTAAATGTAAAAACTCGAGCTTTTCATGCCTTTAGTCAAATTGTATTTATTTTGTTTGATGCGTCACACGACGAAGCGCCAATGAAAGTGTTCTTTCGTTCTTGTGCTGGATTGCTTTGGTTCCTCTGACTAAAATACGCAATAAATCGTTTCTCGAGAGAATTCTCCAGACTGCACCGCTCGTTAATAATGGTCGTTGTTGAAAACAGCTTGTCACATTTGCGATAGAGTTATGACTCAAGATATATCTTATACTATTATGTGTCCGTTGTCAGAGAATATTTTGAAAGGTGAGGGGGTTTAAGATTTTATCAATTTGCATCATCAGAGGGATATGAGGCACTTTGTCCAGCACCCTTTTTTCTCGGGCCTCTAAGTCCACCCTGGTTCGTGTTGAACCTTCAACATCTGAACAGTGCAAGTGATG